TTATTATATTATTATTAATATTAATTCTTCTGAATGCTCGTCTATCAACGTTTGTAATCTTGCTTTTTCTAATATGACGGAGCTTTGGGCTGATTGAATCAGTAGTTTTGTATCTTCTAACTATATTTCTTACACTATATCGTGATAAATCTAATATATTTGCAATTTACGAGTTCAATTTTCCAGAATTGCAATGTTTTACAAGGATGAATCAAATATAAACGGTAATTTTTTTAAATACATTTATTGATTAATGTTATACACAAACAAAACATTTAACATTTCTCAACGTAGTTACCTCCATGCACTACACACTTTTGCCACCGGTTTGGGAGTTTGAATATTCCTTCTTCGTAAAAAGTTTGAGGGCGAGTTGTCAGCCAATTACGCGCGTACTCCTCGACTTCTTCATTGCTTTCAAATATTTTTCCACCGAGTGATTCTTTCAAGGGTCCAAACAAAAAATAATTACAGGGGGACAAGTCTGGACTATAGAGAGGGTGTTCGAGGGTTTCCCAGCCCAGTACTTCCAGTTTATCCCTTGTCAAAACCGCGGTGTGAGGTCTCGCGTTGTCGTGAAGAAGGATGACCTCTCTAATGGGCATACCCCGTCTTTTGTTTCGATAGGCGATTTTTGTCGACTCTAACAACTGGCAATAGTAAGCCGCATTCACTGTTCGTTGATCGTGAAGAAAATCAACGAGCAAAACTCCCCTCGAGTTAAAGAAAACCGTCGCAAGAACTTTTCCGGCTGAGAGACAGGTTTTGGCCTTCACTGGGCAGCCTTCATCCTTTCTTCGCCAGTCCTTACTCGCTATTTTTGACTCGGGAGTGTAATGGTGGACCCATGTCTCATCATATGTGACGATGCGTCTCAAAAAATCCTCTCCTTCTTGTCGAAATCGATTCAGAAGTCTTTCACTGATCTCCGACCTAACCTGTTTTTGATTTTCGGTCAGTAACCTTGGAACCTATCGAGCACTAATTTTTCTAAAGCCAAGATGATCAGTGATAATGGATTGAGCACTCCCATAGCTGATACCCACTTCTGACGAAATTTCTATTAACTGTTAACCGGCGATCGCCTTCAACAAGCTCTCGAACGGCACGGATGTTGTCATCTGTGAGACTTGTCCTTGCCTGTCGATCGTGACTTTGATTTTCGACACGTTCTTGCCCACCCTTAAATTCTCTGGCCCTCGTGTACACTCGGTTCTGAGACAGTGTATCATCCCCAAACTGGGCCTTTAAACGAGTAAAAATTTCGGACGGTTTAACGCCTTCGTTGGTTAAAACTTTATGATGATGCGTTGTGTAAAGCCGGCTGCTCACTACGCGTTACTTGCCAAGTACTTTGCAAGTACCATGTAATGTGTATGGAGACTTGTACAGACTCAGCAAGTTACTTGTACTTCCCGTCGGTTGTCGGTAAACGGACCGAAGTCAAAGGATCCGAGTAAAGTGCTACTTTAGAAGGCGCGCGTAATGTAGACGATTTACTTGTACTCGAACAAGTACTTGCCAAGTTCAGTCCAAGTCAAGTAACTCGGCAAGTAACGCGTAGTGAGTAGCCGACTTAACAGACGAATGTACCTCCTGCTCATTCCTGGCTGTACTGAGGACAGAACCGAGCACGGCCGCTAAACAAGCCGGCTCCCCACTCCTGATAAACCAACCAATCAGTCGCATCATCTAAGTCGGAATTACGTGCTAAACGAAATAGTAAATTACCGTTCATATTTGATTTGCCCTCGTATAACAAGAAAACGTATTTTTTCGTTAATGATTTTTCCTCTACCCATTTTACTAGACAGAATGAGCTTAAAAGAGGTTAAATTGTCTTGTGACCACGATACACAGACTAACGGTATGTTCCTGCGCATACATCTGACTGACTGTGACGTTACGTGTGACATAGAATTATAAGTAGAGAGCGGAATATATGCAAAATGCATATATATGCATTTTTTGCATATTTTACCAAAGTTCAGAAAATATTGCATATTTTTCCAAAATTCAGAAAATATTGCATATTCTACCAAAGTTCAGAAAATTTAAGAAAATATTGCATATTTTCGAAAAAAAAATGTATTACTATACTGTGCAAATCAAAAACTGTTTTAACAGATTATACAGATATATTTGAAATAAAGACCTTTTAAATTTTTGTATTTGTTTTTAAGTGTCACTTCTTGTAAATTCTTGTTAATTAGTTCTTGGAGGGTGGCATACACTGGGTTTTTACCTTCTTAAGAAATTAAGCCCATTAAGGTAATTGTTAATAGATGGTATTTACACAGATAAAGTATTACCTACAATGCAATAAAACGGTTTATATAAAATTCTCAGTAATTTCTTGTAACCAATCTACCCTAACATCGGAATATTTTGAATGTTTTTCATTCAGTTTAATGAGATAGTATCCTCGTTATTTGCCTAGTGAAAAGTCTTGTAATAATTTGTTGTTTTAAAAGTGTCCTAAAATGTCGAGAATTTCTTCGTGGATTATTAACTTTCCAGAGTTGGAAATCAATGGGGATAAAGTTTTTTGTAAGGCTTGTGCCAAAATAGTGGTTTGCGAAAAAAAGTTCAAAGTGGTTCAACACGTGAAAACATCATTGCATAAAGCCAAATTGCAAAAAATGAAATCACAACCGGTTCAACAATGCGTTGTGAGGTCATTTCAAAACGCCGACAAAACAAAAAGTGACAAGGAGGTATTTAATCAGGACTTGTGCAAAGCTCTTGTTGCGGCAAATATTCCATTAAAGAAGTTACAAAACCTACATCTAAGAGAATTTTTACAAAAATATTGCAATCAAACCATTCCTGACGAATCTACACTCAGAAAAAAAAATGTACATGCTATATATATAAATGTAATAGAAGAAATTAAAATTTTACTGGATGATAGCAATTTTTACATCATAGTTGATGAAAGCACAGATGCTTATGGAAGATATATGGTACATCTTATGATTGGAGCCTTAAAAGAAAATAAACCAGGTACATCATATTTAATTGCATCAAAACAGAAAAAACTAACCCGATTAATTCAACAATCTCTAGCAGAATTTTTTTTACCAAATCAAATTGCCTCAGAGAAGTTCTTAGTGTTTTTGTCTGACGCAGCACCATATATGATAAAAGTAGGGCAAAACTTAAAAATATTTTATCCAAATATGGTCCACGTTACTTGTCTTCTGCATGGAATAAACTTAGTTGCAGAAACTGTGAGAACAGAATATCGCTTGGTTAACAAGCTAATTTCGAATGTGAAAAAAATATTTTTAAAAGCCGCTTTAAGAGTGCAGTTGTATAAAGAGAGAATGGTAGGGGTGTGTTTGCCCCCGGAACCCATAATTACGCGATGGGGGACATGGATTAAAGCAGCTATATTCTATGCAGAAAATTTTGAAGCAATTAAGGATTTAATTTTGGATATAGAAGACAATTCACAATGTGTAGTGCAAAGTAAAGAATTGTTAAAAAATCCCCTTGTGCCTAAGCAACTTGTGTTTATAAAGGTTAATTTTAGTTTTTTACCTGATGTAATAACTTCATTGGAAAAGAAAAATTTAAGTTTAATCGAATCAACAAATTTTATTGCAACAGTTTCCGATAAATGTAACAATTTTCCTGGTGACATAGGCCTTAAGATTAGAAAAAAATTAAATACAACTTTATTAAAGAATGAAGGGTTCAATGAAATAAGGGAAATGAAAAACATTTTTGAGGGAAAATTTTCCAAAGAGGTTTTACGTTGGCCCTGTACATTACTTCCAAAATTACGGTATTGTCCTATTACTTCGGTAGATGTTGAAAGGACCTTTTCTATATCAAAACATATTTTTACAGACAGAAGACAAAAATTTTTAATAGAAAATTTCAAAAAATATTTAATTATAAATTCCTATTATAATATTACTATTTAATATTTTTATACTATTCTATACTTAACTTCTACTAGTTTTTGTGTTTCGTTTGTTTTAAATAAATTTTTATATTACATATTTTCTTTTGTTTTTTTTTTTCGTGTAATGGCTTTGATAGCTTACCAAATTAGGAACAGCAATGTTAATTAGAACCCAACAGTGTACGGTCAAGTGGAAAGATTCGCTAGGCATCAGAATTAATTTTTAAATAAATTAATTAATTTAAAAAATCGCGTCCCGGCTGGAATTTGAACCCGGGACCCCTAAGTCCACAGGCCAACGCACTAACCACTGAGCTTACTTTTTTTTTAAGTATTTTTAACAAATAAATGCATATTTAGGCATAATTGGACAAAATAACTGCATATTTTTGGTAAAAACGATGCATATATATGCGCATATTTTGTTATATTTTGATGCATATATTCCGCCCTCTAATTATAAGCATTAAATGGGAGATGGCGTTTAAAATTCGATATTTTGCCAATTTTAGATTTTATGCAGTTACTTAGGCTTTATGGGTTATTTTGTAATATATTCGTTTACAAATATGACGGTTTAAGGTAAATAATACTAATAGAAATATTAATTTTTCTCATAAATCATAGGTATTTTGTTACAAAATTCATAACCTGGTCATAAGATAAGTAAAAAATATAAACTAAAAAAACCAGTTGGACTTTCTGGATGTAGTAGTTCTCTTGCAATCTCTTTTCTTAATATGTGAAATATAAATAAGTGTGCAGAAACAAATTATTTATTTATAAAAAGTAAGTATTTTGTAAATTTAAACATTTTTTTTTTCAAGTTTACTTTGTAAATACTTATAACCAACTTTTCTGTTCATTAATCTTATTCTTATATATGTTCGTGTCTTGCTCATGCATGGCATTACTTCAAAAGGACCGTTTTATTGGGACTGGAAACTACTGTTTAATCTGCTAAAATTTTTAAATGCCAATTTATTTTCTTTGCTTAATGAAAAACAATTTTGCATGAAATACCAGTTTTCTTTCTATATTATTAATATTTTCAAATGTATTAATTAAAACTAATTATTTGCAGTATACAAATATTCAGGTATTTACTCGCCCAAGATGACATCAGAATCAATACGAGAAATTCACAGGGTCAAACTCCACTCTTCCTCGCCGTAAGATATGGCCACTTTGAGTCAGTGAAGCATCTCCTAGAAAAAGGTGCAAATGTCAACTTGCCATATAACCGAGAAGTAACGCCTTTGCACGAATCTGTGCAATATCCAGATATTGCACATATATTAATAAAAAACGGAGCAGATATAGACGCTGTAGATTACAATAACGACACTCCTCTGCACAATGCTGTGGTTGATAGTTGTATAGAAACAGTGTGTATGCTGTTATATTATGGCGCTGATGCAAATGCTATAGGATGTTTCAATTACACCCCATTTATGAGAGCTCTCTTTAATAAAGACGTGGAAATTCAAGATGCTCTATTCGATTACATTGATGATTTTACTGTAACTTCTATGAACTATTACAGTTCGTTAACTTTAGCTGTGAAAAATTATAGTCCTTATGTGGAGGAGATGATTAAGAGAGGTGCGGAAGTAACTGTGGCGGATTATAAGGCTTGCATATATTATCCAAATGCAAATAATTTCAAAATTATTTTGAACAATCTCACAGCAGATGATGTTGCGGATAATGATGTTAATTTGTTGCTACTATCTTCTAAGCTCAATAAAGAAAACTTTGAGCAGTATATTGAAATTATTATGGAACATTCTGATAGTTCAGTATTGGAAATATTGGCCCAGAAAACTTCTAGTCAAGATTTGGCTAGTTTAATAGAAAGCAGTAACAATAATTTTTTTAATAATTGTTTGCCACATGATAAAATAACCAAATTAATTTTATTGTGGTTGGAGTATGGTTGTAAATTGAGGACGGGTCTAATTTATGAAATTTATGTTAATATGGGTTATTGTGAATTATTCAAAATTCTACTATTCATGGATTACGTAGACGATTGGTCGCCATTCGCATTAACCCCGAGATTAATATTCGATATACATAGTGATGTGTTAGCGTTATGTTTTGAGCTTACACGAAGAGATTGGTATGAATCGATAAATAAAAGAAAATTCATGACTGATTTCATAAGTTCCTTTCATTATTGGAAAAACCATTATTTGGTGGAGACTGCCTTTCACTTTTCTGAAAGGAAGTTTCGTTTTGGAGGTCGATCAAAGTTCTTACAGGATCTAGATGTATTACCTGCTATACCATCCTTACTTGAGCTAGCTAGAGATCAAACTAGGAAATATATAGTTGGAAAGTTTAACATGACAACTTCCAGGCAATACTATACATATGTCAATTGTTTGGATATAGCTAGTGTTTATAAAAAAATATTAATGTATGAAAAGAAAATTTATAGTTAATTTTTTATTTGAATTTAGAAATGTATAGTTATTTTTTATTATTTATTGTAAAAGTAAAAAATATCTCTGTACTTTATAATTCTTTATTTTGAACTATGTTCGTATGTATTTCTGTTTGGCACTGGTTTCAAAACCAACTGTTCAGTCAATCTTTAATTAATTTTAATAAAGTTTATTTTGTATTAACCCATTAGCGCCGAAAAATAAAAAAAAATTAAAATTATTAAAATTTATAGTTGCAACTTATTGTTAGTAAATAAAAGAACATGTTTTGAAAATATTTTATTTTTTTTTTAAATAATAGTACCCTTGGGAAGGTGTTCCCATATGGTACCTTTAGGTGCAACCCCAGTATTACACACTTATAGAAATTACACATTAGTTATTCTTAAAAATATTTCTACTGAATATGAAATGAGCGAAAGCAGTCGATACAAAGCCCTATATTGCACTTGGAGCACATTGTTCTTCCTCTGCTCTTACAATTTTCACCAGCACATCTTCTTCTTTTACCTTCAGGTATCGAAATGACGTAATGATGTAATCCGTCATATCTTAAATCATTACTGACCCTGGAATCAGCAGCAGCAGCTTTCGGAATTCGACCTGGATTTCGAGGCGGTACACCATATCTTGTCAGATATGTCTGAAAATTAAAAATACTACACTTTTAGTAGTCCTATTATTTTAATAAATATTGGAAGTTTTACCTGTACAATATTTCTTCTAAAATCTAACTGACTTATCTTTCTTCCACTCTTTCTATATAATGTCCAGGCGTTTTGAATTGCAGCATCAATCAGATAAGTAAAAATGGGCCAGTACCACTTTTTTGAGCGAACTCCAATACGGTAACTAAAAAATATATGTAAAATCACAGGTATAAATAAAATCAATAAAATAACTAACCATGAAATATTGTTGTCCATCTGGTCGGTCCCGCCCATATTCTTGTTATATTGCATGGTCAAATCTGGCCGTGGTACATTAACAATCTTCTTTTCACTTCTACTGAACCTCTGAACTGCCTTTACTGGTGCTACGCCATAAGAAGTGCTTGCCATCGTTACCACCTTATTATCAAGCCATCTTACATATAATATACCACTTTCTTTCTCTAATATAACAGAATAATCACCTCTGCTTTGCTTTTCTAATTGCTTTGTAGGTAAAAGAGGACAGTTCTTTGGCAATCGGTTTTCACGTATAATACCAGTTCCGCCATAACCATTTGCTTTCAGAGTACATAATAAATTGGCACCAGTGAATAAATTATCGAAAAAGAAATTATATCTAAAGTTTTTTTTGTCACCCATTTCTTCTATCATTTGCAACAATGGAGCTGCTGCTTTACCATAGGACTTCTCGTATTCTGTATTTGATCTGGGATTCTTTCCTTGATAAATTTCAAAATTGATTAGATAGCCACTCGGAGTGTTTAGGCTCCAAACTTTATAGCCGAATCTCACAGGTTTGCCACGAATGAACTGCTTGCATCCATGGCGACCAAAATACCTGATCATCGATTCATCATATGATAGGTTTTCCTCGGGTACAAAGTGTTGAATAAATCTTTCTTTTATTCTATCTGTTAGGGATCGAAGCTTATACATTTTGTCCGATTTATCAATATCATTATTGTTTGCAACATGAATAAATTTGCAAATCTGCATAAAACGATCCCTTCTCATAGCTTCTGCTAGCATAACGTTTTTTAAATCCTTGGAATTTTTCCAATAGTTCCTTTTCGATGGTAAAATGTTATACCCACTTAAAATAAGTATTCCCAGAAACACACGCAGTTCTTGAATGGTTACTTGAGGGTCGGGACTATTTTTGAACAGCGCATAATTTGTTGTTTCTTTACTAATCATCTGCAATATTTCATCGGTATAAAATAATTCAAAGATCTCCATATTCTGAGTAATCTCCACATGAAAATTTATGATTAGCATATTGCAAATCTCCCTTAGTAAATTTTGGCACATTAGGTTTCGATGCTAATTTCAAATCGCAGTCAGATATTTGACTCAAAGGAGTTACTTCCTCAAAGTCTGTTTCAGTCCCCAGCCTTTCGCTATTTATCAGAACAACCTCTGCAGTAGCAGAAAGTTGCCTTGAACTCAAGTTTTCTACAAGACCTCCCTCATCCTCATCTGCTGAATCTTCGTCTGTAAGTGTATTACTCTCAGGAGGTTCAATAAATATGTCCTCGGCATCTTCTTCATCATAAATAATATCTAGTGCTTCTTGGAGCGTAATTCCACTAAAACAACAAAAAACACAAGCTAAAAAATGTCAAACCCCGTTAACGCCTAAAGAGCCCATTTGGGAACATCAAAGTTTACAAGAAACTATTTCATCAACAAAAAAGTGAAGACGAATTTGTTTTCTAGAGATAAATTGCTCTATGTGTTGGTTAAGTAAATGCTAAGTTGAATTTGAAACAGGAGTAATGACGTAATAAAAACAATACTTACACGAACTTGATGTCCATATTTCCAAAAAAGTCTACAAGCACTGAATTCACCTAACGAAAATAACCAACAAATTTCAAAGCAAACCAGCAGAACCTTACTCACGTACTCCACAAACCTTACTGAACTAACGCTAAACATTTATACTACGCAAACACCGACCAGGCCCGTACTCAGCCCTTTGAATGCTTCGCTAACGTCTGGCTCCATATGGCACCTTTAGGCGTTAATGGGTTAATTCAATTTTACGTTCTATCCTTACAATATTTCACAGTTCACATTTTATTTGAAAAATACAAATTTCTCTAAACACATTAATAAGAAGTAAATCCTATAATAGGTTTTTTCTAGCTCATGTTTTTTGCTTGTTTTTGATTTTTTCGTCTGTTTTTGTTTTTTACTTGTTTTTGTTTCTGTTTTTTTTTTGTTTTTTTGCATTTGTTGGTTTTTTTTGTTTTTTTGTTTTAATTTTGTTTTTTTTTGTTTCAATTTTTTTTTAATATTTAGTTTTGTTATATTATTTTTTATTTTTGTACATATTTTAATTCTTTTTGTCAGAGCTTTACATTTAAGGAGTTTACATGATTATAAATAATTTTGTATACATCGAAATTCTTGAGGGCGAGAAGGTGTGACAAATTAATAGGTAGTTGGACATTATGTTGAATAAGTTGTGGTATATAGAATTGATATGTCAATATAGTCCAGTAACTGAAGACCTGAAAATATGCAAAACTGTCATTAAGTCGGTCCAGATTTCCTTTGTGGCTCAATTCTTAGGTCTTGACGGTTGCTTTCAAAGGCGAAAACTTTTACCAACACTGCTGGGTCGGAAAGAGCTCCAAATGGCCTCTAAAGTCCGAAAAAATTGTTTCCCGCTAATATCTGCCAAAATATACAAATTAGACAATTTTTGTTTAGATAAAAAATGAAGATCGTATCATTATCTACAAAAATAGTCTCTACCATTTTTTTCGCAAGACGAATCTTTTTTGCAAAAGCCTGAATTTTTGCACTGAATAGAAATGTTAGTTTCTCACTGAATTTCCGCTCGAAGGAGTTGGGAATACATTGATTTTCATGTTTTGGACTTTGGAGACCAATTGTAGATGGCGCCAGCGGCATACCTCTGCTCACTAAATTATGGGGCCTATGAATGGAAATCCGGGCACCAATAGATTTTTCGACAATTATTGGCGGTTTCTACGGGATTTTTTCTGTAAAGTAGCGCTTGGGGTATCTCATCTATATTGCCGAATGTTCTGTGTAATTTGCGTTGCAAAATTTAGTAGAAAAGTGCAAACATTTTTTTTTTTCATGTGACAGTCTTAAATCCCGGCGATTTGCCTAATAGTGGGTTACTAGTTTTAGAGTGTGATGAATATTGACCCGAGAAGACCCTTTATATATTTTCTGTCTTTTGCAAAATTTTCGCCAACTTCTATCGGAACAATATAGGTCCAGGATTTCAGAAAAATAAGAAAGTTTCTGAAAATTTTCTTTTATTATGAAAAACATGTTGAAAATACGAAATACATAGCAATGCTTATAATTTATCATACGTTAAACCATTCAATGTCACCAGAATCATACTCTTGATCGTCTTGCTCTTGCTCCATTCTTTCCCCTCTTCCAGGCGTCCCTTCCCCCTGTTTTTCCAACCCCTGTGTTGCTGTCTTAACAGCTATTTCATCCTCCTCCCCTTCAACCCTTTCTGGGTCTCGATCCATCTCTAATTCTTCCTGGAAAATACCTTCATTTTTGTTATAATTAAAACACTGTGTCGACTGACACGAACCACAGACATGCGAGCATTTCAGTCCGACATTCAAACATGAACAATTCTTCTTGCACTGACAAAAAATCATTTTCAAGGGTTCCGGGGGGGCCGGATCCCTTGTGGTCTGCACCGGTAGCAGTACATCTTCTGCACGTTTCCATCCCCATTCCTCTGGTGGCAGTTCGTTTCCAAGCCATTTATTTAAAATAATAAATTGCCTTTTACACTTAATTTCATTAATTTTTCCGGTAATTTACACTCACTTTGTAAAGCAAATCTTCCGCTAAAAGTTTCTGGCTGACGTTCCCTTCGGGAAAACTCCAACTTCATCCAGCTCCAGACGTGCTCAATAGGATTCAAGTCTGGAGATCTAGGAGGCAATTCAGTACGATTAAGGTTTTGCTCTTGTATATATCTGTTTACTAATAATGCTCGATGAGGACGAGCATTATCGTCCACAAGAACAAAATCATCGCCATAATTTCGAGCATGCGGGAGAACTAGCGGAATCAGACATTAATTCAGGTAAACCTGGCCGTTTACATTACCCCGAAATACCACGAGTTCTGTCCTTCCGTTGTGTTGAATACCGCCCCAAACCGTCAATCCACCACCGCCAAATGCAACTTGGGGACGCATATTTTCTGCTAAATAACGTTCTCCCCGTCTCCGCCAAGATAGCAATCGGCCGTCGGAATTGTAGAGGTTGAAACGGCTTTCGTCAACGAAAAGACAGTCTCTCCACCTACGATCCCAATTTATATGTTCTTGGGCCCATTTTCTCCTGTTGGCCCGGTGAATGTCAGTTAAAAGTGGGCATTTTGGCCGACGGTGAGCATTTAATCCCTGATCATGTAGGCGTCCTCTAATAGTGTCTGCTGAAACGTTTAACTGCAGTTGCGTTCGGATTCTCTTGGCAGTCCAAACTCTGTTTCTGATTGCAGTCCGTACTACTGCTCGATCCTGACGAGGATTAGTTCTTTTTCGAGATCCTCCCCCGTGTCGGTAAGCAGCAGTACCATTGTTACCTTCTCGCTGCAACGCTCTTCCAACGGATGATTTCTTGACATTAAGAAAATCAGAAATCTCTCTTATTGTGTGATTTCTCTACCGCAATCTTAAAATATTCACCAAATCTGCAGCCGTAAGTCGCGCCATTTGGACAATAGCAATTTATTTTTGTTTTGACTTATGCAATCTAACGTCAAAATCTTATCTCTATGGTAATATTTTTGTTGCCTTCTTGATAAAATTGCAGAAATAAAGTTTCGTCAAAGCAAATGTCCCGACTTACAAATGCAAAAATGGTAAGTACCTATTATTGCTTACTGACACTATCAGTAAGCGCTTACAGGGTGAGTAGCTTTACTTTTGTATTCCTCTGAATTAGTCAAAATCAAACTCATTACAGTTATGGCACCTTTTAAACTGTAACGCTTACCAAAAGTGTTAAAAATTTCAAATAAAATCAAGTTTTAGTTTTTTAAATTTCATAAACCCCTTTTTGCACGCCGCTGGTGTTGACCATTTTCTTTACACGTTATTCCTTGATGCAGTTTAGTCGGTATCTGTTATTCTTTAATTAAAAAAAGGCTAATT